TCCTTCCTGTCTCTGTAGTCATAGGCTTCCTTTTTTGTACCTTGATATTTTAGTTCACCGTAACTTTCGAACAGACTGGCTGGGGTGGGGTTGGGAAAGTGTTAGTGAGTCTTCTACCTGAAGCTGAATCCTATTTCTTTCATTAGAATGAAAATAACTAGTCGACATAATTTGTCTAATAAGTTCCATTTTCTGAAATATATCTAAGAATTAGGAATTCAGCCAAATTCCACACTGCCAGCACTGATTGTACAGGGTTACAATAGAGCTCCTGTGCTTGTGTTATAATCTGTAGTCTATGACCCTGACTTTATACCCCGAGTCTCTATTTTGAATTAAATTCAATGGCAGGATTGTTTTTAGTTTACCAAAAAATGAGGCAGGTATGGATAGTTGCAAAAAAGTGACAAAGTGTTCTAACACCAAGGGAGGAAATGTTAAAAACTACCGCAGGTGACCACGGGGGCCCCTTTTGCCTCCTTGGTGCAGGGTCCATGCACATGGAAACTTTACCACGAGGGTCTTGGGCCGTCAGCATGAAAAGGTCAAATGTGTTTAGGGAGGGAAGGGCCTGTGCTCATGGAGGTAGGGCCAATAGGAGGACCACATTTTTCTAGATTATTGTCAGGAAATCTGCCTTTCCAGATGTACATCCAGTGTCTTGTCAGTGAGCTCATTTTAAATATATATTTTTAAAAAACCATCTTTCTCAAACACCACTTGTAACCCGGTTTGTGTTTGCCAGTGGTATGTTTGGTAGCTGACTTAATGACATCAGTTACCTTAATTCTACAGGTGGATTCACAAATTTAAGGTAAAATACAGCCAAAATCATGTGCCTTGTGACACAACTAGATTTAAATGTGTGCATGGGAAAGATGATGAGTTTCTTTAAAAAGTGTTAGGTGGCAGGATTATGGGTAGCTTTTAAATAATGTTCATGGGCAAACTATTTTAACATATTTTGAACAAAATATCACTTTTGATGGAATCATGGCTTCACAAATATACTGATAAACAGTGTTTTTCAACCTTTTTTTTATCTCATGGCACATTTAAACCTATCGTTATCAAGAATCATCGTCTTTGTAATGAATCTGGACAGAGAAGGCAGTAGGCAGGTTGGAGCGTGCAGTGGGGAGAGCTGGCCAGGATACGCCCAGGCCACTCGCAGAGGCGTGGGCTGCAGGAGCTCAGAAGGCTCGAGTCAGCCTGCAGGGAACGAGTTCTTTAAAACGTAAGCCCAAGAGAGGAATTTGACAAGTATTTTAAAGTAATTCTTCCCCAGTGCTGTCTGCAGCTCCCGCCTAATAGACATATTAGTAGATATCAAAAAAGCATCTATTCCTAAAAACAGAAGCTTTTAACAAAATAGGAACAGGTAGATACTTCCTTATCAGAATAACCATTCCTTAATTTCATAGCCTACATACTTGACAGTAGTGGAATGAGGGAAAGAACTGTGATGTGTCGACACACGCACGTACTTACGTACAGTGGGGAATGTAAAATGTATTAGCTAGTGAGAGTCAGAGAGAGATGCATAGCACGGTCACAGGAAGGTTGCCAGACACGCCAGACACCGTGGGAAGAGCGAGGGTGAGGATTGCAGGGACAGCCCGAACCTGTGTTTGTAGTAAACATTTAAAAACCGCATTGCAAAAAGATGGAGGAGGATGCGGGGCTAACTGGGAAGCAGAGGGAGCAGGCAGCCGCCTTTTTACCTTATTTTCCTGTTTCTTCTTCATTTGAATATTTTACCACGTGATTGTGATGATGTATTATGCGTCTAAACATGTATGTGAGTGCACACTTGGCACTTTCAAGCCCAAAGCTGGTGATATATTAAATGATAAAATGCTAAATATATTTTCATTTGAGTCAAAAATGAGAGAAGGACGCCCACTCTCACATTCTTGCTGCTGTTTTGAAAGTAGCCACTGCTGTTGGACTAGCGGAAGAAGCATAAATACTGGAAAGAAGGAGGCAAAAGGGATTATCATTCTGCGATTAAATTATGGGCTGGCAAGCAAGGGATTTATTTGCCTGGGAAAACTTAGAAACACTAAATAAATGTGAACCTGTTCCCTATAGATTGCTAGAGACGGCCTATTTGGGGAGGAGGACGTGAAGAAGCCCTTTCACAAACCGTTTTCTCTGTGCAGGGAGGAGTTAGGGGGAAAACTGCTGGTTAAACTGTGGGTTTTTTTTTTTCTTCTGAATGAAACTTTGTATCATGTTTGCATATTAATGTCCAATAAAACCAAAATTAAATAAGCTTTTATTTGATTTTTCTCCCAGTAATCAAGGTAAGAAAATTAGGAATACCTAAGTATGTCAAATAAAAGTAGCAGAAAAGAAAATCTCAGAAAAATGGTAACAGATTTGAATACATGAAGCAAAACACTTCTAAACAAAATAGCACATTTGTGATTAAAAGGAAAACAATGGCCTGGAGAAAAATGCTTGCTTTGGCCAGATGATGAGGACGGGCCTGCCTTGGGTCTCGCGGGAGCCGAGGGTTTGAGGAGCTGCGGGTGATCTTAGTCTTTGTGGAGGCTCCTCGCGTGGAGGGCAGGGACCACATCTTACACAGCTTTGCACTAACCTGCTACCAAAGTGCATCTCCAGGGCGTGTCTAGTCAATGTTACCTGTACCTGAATGAAACTGAGACGCATGAAGATGGTGGGGGCTGGACTTGGTGGCTGGCTGAATCTGGGCGGCTTATGCAGTGATTCCTGCCTCCTGGTGTTCATCCATCCATTCATTCAGTGAACTTTTGTTGGGCAGCTGCTCTTTGCTGGGTGCTATGCTGAGTTTGTTAAGAGGAGTAAGAGCTCTTGAGCTTATGAAAACAGATGAGTTGTGACTTTGAACGCAGGGTGCTACGTGAACGAGGAGCATTCCTAGCTGGGGGTGAGGGCGGGGGTCACAGGGAGCTACCTGACCGGCCTCTGCAGTGGGGAGACGGGGGGACTGCCCACCATCTGGTCTCAGACTTAACGCTCGATGGCGTTCACCGGGGAGGTGGGGACGAGGAGAGGACGGTGGGCTGAGGCACGTGTCAGGATGTGTGGTGCAGGGCAGGCCGCCAACAGCGAGGTGTTTCTGGACTTGAATTTTCTTCAATTATCTATCGATTCATTGTTTCTAAGGAACCTGTTTTGCAGGTAGAAGGCTAAGAGGCTGAAGAGGAAGGGAGGCACTAGATCTTAGAGAACTTACCGGACTTTTTCTTTAGGCAGTGGTGAGCCCTTGAAGGGTTGAAGCCAGCATGGATTTGTGCTTGAGATGATCCTTTAGGTGGCTCTGTGCAGGGTGGATATGGGAGATGGTGAGGAGTTTGCTGTTGGGACCTGCCCTGCACCACACATCCTGAGAGAACCGGGCCAGTGCGGGGCAGGTGCAGTTAATACTGACTAAGCAGGCGTGGTGTGGAGAGATGGTCGTGGTCGTGGTGTGGAGAGATGGTCGTGGTCGTGGTGTGGAGAGATGGTCGTGGTGTGGAGAGATGGTCGGCTCTGTTTTCCTGAGAGGGTGTTTGAAAAGGGGAAACAGGAGGAGTAGGTTTGGGGCAGAGGATGAGTTTAGTGATGGCTGTTAACAGGAAGTCCTGCCAGAGGGCAGCCCAAAGGAAGGGGAAACTGTGGGCAGGAAAGAGGTCTGGGAGGGCCTGGAGTGTCCCAGGGAGAGTGTGTAGGATGGAAGGGAAGAGACCAGGGATGGAGCTCACACGTCAGGTTTAACAGCTGAGAGAGGAGCAGGAGGAGGAAATCCCAGTTGGTTGAGAAGGAAAACCCGGTTGGGGGGAGCACTTTGGGAAGCCATGGCAGGGGACAGTTTTGGAAAGAAAGAACTGCCTCAAACTTTCAGATACCACAGAGGTCAGGTAAAGGTCGAAGGAGTCTATTGGATTTAACAGTTAGTGGGTTATTGAAGATCTTGGCAAAAGGGGTTTCATTGGAGAGCTAGGAGCAGAAGAAACCAAACTGCGATGATTACAGAATGAATGGGAGCTGAAGTAGAAATGGAGCATGTGGACGGTTCTTTCAGGAAGAAACAGCTAATTAATGCCCGAGTGGAGAAGGGGCCTTACTGTTCTTCTCAAGAACAGAATGACTGCTTGGTTTTTTTTCTATGTAAAAGAAACACGCTATTTTGCAATTAATGTCATAGAGAATATTAATGTGGTTCTTTGCTATTTCCAGAAATCATTGTATGAAAATTATTACCCAAATAAGAGTAGAATGTTAAGCTCTTTAAAAGACCAGGAATTGAACTCAGGCCCCCTTCTATACCCTGTATATATGTGCCACATTCCAGAGATTGAACAACTTTGTGATAAATTGATTTAAATGATTGTACAAAGTAGAGTTCTTTAAAGATAGAACCGAAGTTCTAGAATATTTTTAAATTTATATATATATTATATTTTAATTCCAAAAGGAGTTATGCCTTTAAGTCTTATCTGAACAGTATAATGTACTAGTGGAAGGAGCGTACCTGGCTCCGTGCTCACACTTAACTTACGTAAGACTGTGTTTTGCAGGTACTGATGACGTTGTAGGTCCTGAAGGCATGGAGAAATTTTGTGAAGACATTGGTGTTGAACCTGAGAATGTAAGTCTAGCTTACAGAATTGGGTAAATCAGCAAGGTGCAGGTAGAAGTGGGAGTGAGATGACCGGGTGACAAAGGTCAGACTGCAGGTGTCCCAGGGGTTAGCTGAGCATTAATCTTGACAGAAAGGCCTGTGGGGAAGGGTGAGCGCTGAAAAAGAAGGCCCAGCTGGTCCAAGTGCCTCACCTCCCACATACCTGTACTCAGTTAAAGGGAGCGAGTATTTTCATCCTCCTTTGCCAGTTAAGAGTTCTTTAGAATGCTATTTCTGTAGGACTGGAAATTGTCTCAAAATGTTGAATCACATTGAAGACTAAAAGGCCAAATTCAGAATATTCTTCCAAGCACTGTGTGTACTTCAATTCCAAGGTGCTGCTATTTGTATTATTTTATATCATCACTAAGAAAGAAAAAGTGTTACTAAATACATTCTGATGTGGCTTCAGTCGTGGGTGCATTCCAAATTCAGAGGCACTAACATTTGAAAAACAAGTGGTGAGATATGGTTTGAACGCCTTGTCTGCATTGATGAGTGAATACCTTAGAAGTATTTAAAACCCTCACCTTGCCTGGTATTTATAGCTCATGAAATTTAAGCAGGCTTCTGAAATTCAAGTCTTCTTTCATTTACCAAGATGTGGGCAAAATTCTGTAAGTACTTTGCTTCCTCAGACTTAGACAGTCTACTGTGTGTAAAATTCCCACACTGTCAGCTTTGGCTCATTAGCCGTATCTCAAGCCAAGTGTTTGAGTGGAATTTTTAACCTTTCTAATAGAAGGTTAAGTAGAAATATAGTTTAAGAAAATACCTAGTTTGCATTACAAACGAGGCTTGGTTCACCGAGGTAAATTGATAGAACAGAGTTAGAAATACAAGAAACCTGAGGGATTAGGAGAAAATTCCCAGATGTTTAAATAACTTGAAGACCGTGTAATCCCTTCTCTTTGGAAAATTATTCTTGGTAGCCCATTGATGTCTAAGTCACCATTTTTAAACTGTTTTGCCAATCATTTTAACCTTTTTAGCAATCATTACTAATCAGTCCTAGTAATCTAAATTTTTAAAAATCTAAAAACCCTTGTGACTTTTAAAAAATTTATGTATACCGATTTATTTGATGAAAGTAGGTTTTCACTGATGCTAATTTCCAAAGTGGAAAACCATGAAGTCAGTATCAAGAGAAAGTTTTTCATTAATTTTCCAGGTATAAATTAGACAAAGAGATGTTTCAGTCTGCAGACTGGCGAACAGATATAAGGACAGATTTTCTGAATTTCCTAAATGCTCTTATTCTGGAGTTCTTAATGTATGTGCTGGCTCTTGGAGGCTCAGAAAATCATTAGAAGTGATTTCCAAATGACTTCTTGCCTAATATTTCGTGTTTTTGTATCATCCTGATACCTTTTACTGCCACCACCATCTGACCCAGTTGGGTACCTGATGGTGGTTTGATGGTTTGTGGGTAATTCTCCCGGGAGGCACAGCGAAGCCTTCAGTTCTGTGCAGAGAGATGAGAGTAACTGCCTAACGTGGAGTATCCTCATCCTTGGCCAGCTATCTTACAGAAACACGCATTTCTATTCTTTTCCTTTTTTTGATGCAACAAATGTAGGGAGGCCATCAGCAGTGTCTACCTGACCCCAGCTGAGGGTGTGAGTGTCCCTTGTGTGTGAATGACTATCCAGAGCTGACCAGCCTGCAGAGTGGAGGAGGGTCCTGAGAAGGCCCTGACCCCAGCGGAGGGCCTGGGTATCCCTTGTGTATGAATGAATGACTGTCTGGAGGTGACCAGCCTGCAGAGTGGCGGGAGGGTCCTGACAAGGCCCTGACCCCAGCTGAGGGCCTGGGTGTCCCTTGTGTGTGAATGATTGTCTGGAAGTGACCAGCCTGCAGAGTGGAGGAGGGTCCTGAGAAGGCCCTGACCCCAGCTGAGGGCCTGGTGTCCCTTGTGTGTGAATGATTGTCTGGAGGTGACCAGCCTGCAGAGTGGCGGGAGGGTCCTGAGCAGGCCCTGTCCATCCTCTTTGCCTGTTCAGCACTGACTGACTTCAGCTGCTCCTAACTTCTACTTGGGTTTTTAAGGTAGGTGGGAGGGAAGTCATTGCCTTGCCCCAGTCACAGACGGCCTCAGCCATGTCCCACTGCAGTGGTTTTTAGACTGTGCACAGCTGGATGCAACTTTGAACTGTAGTTTTGGCTTTACACCTTCAGGTATCAGTTAACGTTCATCGTCAGTTCTCTGTTCATCTTTCCTCTGAAATAGCTGAGTGAAAAAGCAGTACACAGTGGTGTAGACCACAGTTGTCACCGTCCCTGATATCTGCACAGTTTGAGAAGATTCACAAGAGCAAGAGTGGCACTGGGAGACTGTCCCATCGACACCTGCCCGAGCAGTGGCTGGGCCAGGCTCGGTGCTGTGGGGCGACTTTAGGGCAGTTCCCTGGCTGGCGTCTTTAGTTGACTTCACAAAGCCATTGTTAAAGTGTGTGAAATAACTCCCACCTCCCGCCACTTCGCGCTCTGCTGTCTGCTCAGTCGGGAGGTGGTTCGGTATTTGTACAGACTGCTCTCCTTACTCATCTGAATGGGGCCCTAGTGGTCCTTACACAGAATATGTTTAGGAAAGGAGTATTTAACCAGGCCATTATTGCTGGGCATTGGGTTATTTTTAACATTTTCTTACTACAAATAGTTCTGCAGTAAATGTTTTTGAATCTACATTTTTGAGTATATATGCAGGTGTATCTGTCTATAAGATAACCTTCCATAAATGGAATTGCTGAGTTAATAACTGATTTTAATTTTGATAGATACTGCAAAATTGTCCTGTGGAGTGGTTTAATCACTTTACGCTTCTACTGTCATATTTGTCATCAAACTATGTCCTCAGACGCCATTTCTGACGTCAGGGACTGGACGACTGTGAACAGGAGCGTCAGGCACAGCGTTCATGTATTTAATTGCTGAGGTTTGATTTGTCTTTTTATTTTTCTTTTAACAGGTAGTTATGCTTGTCCTAGCTTGGAAATTGGATGCACAAAACATGGGTTATTTTACTCTACAAGAATGGTTAAAAGGAATGACCTCTCTCCAGTAAGTCCCGAGGCTGCACTGTGGGTCCTGTGGCCCCAGGTGGCTCCTCCTCCCTGACCTCAGGGTGGGGGGCAGCCCATGGAGGGAGGGCAGGGGGTCTGACCACGCTCCCCAGAGGATGGGAAGACCAAGACCCACTTGGGGGACGATGATGGGTGAATTTTAGCAATTAAAGTTTATTTTCTTTTCTTTCATTTCTTTTTTTTTTAGCAATTAAGTATTTATATTGTGTGTGTGTGTGAGTGAGAGAGAATTCTTCTAGAGCAACTCTGTCCAGTAGAAATTGACTAACCTTTTCTCATACGTGTGAGCCACATAATGTAATTTAAACTTGTCCTATAGCCACATGAACAAACTAGAAACATGTGAAATGTTTTAATATATTTAGCCCCAAATATCATGATTTCAACATGTCCTCAGTATTTTTTTTTAAATCTTTAAGAATTTTACATCTTCAGAAGCTGCTATGTAGGGTGGTGCCCTTAGCTCAGTGGGTGGAGTTCCGGCCACGTACACCAAGGCAGGTGGGTTCGAGCCTGACCCAGGCCATCTAAACAATGACAACTGCAATAAAAAAATAGCTGGGCATTGTGGTGGGCACCTAAAGTCCCAGCTACTCAGGAGGCTGAGGCAAGAGGATCGCTTAAGACCAAAAGTTAGAGGTTGCTGTGAGCCGTGACACCACAGCATTCTACCAAGGGTGACAAAGTGAGACTCTGTCTTAAAAAAAAAAAAAAAAGCTGCTATGTATTTACATTTCTGGTCCGTCCCAGTTTGTATCAGCCATGTTTCGAGTGCGTGTTAGTCACACATGCCTGCTGGCTACTGCATGGGACAGCACATGTTTAGGGCTTAAAAGGCAAAGGCTTGCTCACATCTGGTTTACGGTCAGTGAGAAAAGTTGAGTAAAGTATAACTTAAAAGTGAAAATACTGGACAGCTTCTCTTTTATATGTTCTGATTTTAGCTCTGGGCAAAATTAAAACTTCATTATGCTAGTGGTAAAAAATATTCTGTTTGTGTTACCTAGTTCATAATAAGAAAATAAATCGGGTTTTATGTATTTGTTTTGTGTTGGTATAAATGTGCATGTATGTGCATACATGTGTGGTGTCTACTACGGGTTTCAGTCAAGAAAACAAACTGTTATTCTGTGTATATTGTGCATTGAAGGGTGCACTCGAGGTGGATGACTGTTTCACATGGTACTGTAGATGGAGTGCTAATTCTTAACTTAGCTTTGATCTGGAAAGTACTTGGACTGACTTATTTCTTTGCACTTCAGGAATAATAGACCTCGATTTTTGTCAAATTAAAATTGGAGTTGAGATGACTTTATGGTTTTATTTAAATAATTTTGGAATCGGTTGGCTTTTAATATCCTCCATTTGTTATTAATGATGCCTTGCTTGTGTGCTTAGTCGTTTATGAAGCCTTTTCACTCTTCTCCCATTTGGGCCTCACCTTGGGTAGACAGCAGGTCAGGCCTCAGACTGAACGTGAGGCTCAGAGGGGACATGTGGTGTGTGAAGAAAACCTCAGGCTTCTGATTCTTAAGTCACATTCTTCCTCCAATAACACTGTCGGATGGTAAATGAGTTGTAGGTCAAAGCCAAACCGTTCTTCTATAGATACACTTTCCTGTTAGCATGCTGTAGAATTTTAGGGTTAAATTCTCTGCAGTCTCTGTAAGGTGGTGCTTGTCCTGTTGGGGAACATCTCCCGATGCGTTTAGTCTCCTGACTCTTACTGATTTTCTCACTTCTCCGCGTTGCTTTCTGAGTAGAGCACACGCTGGCTGTTCTTGTTAAAGTATCCTTGTGATGATGGGGCGTGGCCATATCAGGGTTTTATTTTAAACCTCCAGAAAAGGCACTATCCACATTTTTGGGCCCATTTTTATTTGTCTCAAGAGGGTGTGATACCCATTTTTGTGCAGCTTTGTATTCTTTTTTACCTTTCCCTTTACAAAAGAATATTACCCAGTTTTGTTTTGAGGGCCCCGTCTCCCGGGAGGTAGGGGGCAGTCGCTAGAGCAGGCCTTTATCTGAGGAGTAGGCTGCTCCACAGCTCTTGGTTAGGAACTCGGCCACGGTGTATGAAGCAGGTGGTCATGGGGGGGTTCTCACAGGTGGCTCCTCTTCTTTTGATTCAGTGTTTAGTGACAAGCTCTATCCCCTGTAAGGGCATGGAAGGACCTGCTCTCTTTTTGTGATCTGAAACTCTGAGATTGGTTTCCTCATCAATGAGGTGGAGTTAATTATTCAGAATAACCTTTGAAGTTCTTTGTAGTTAAAAAGTAATCCTCCGACTGGCCTCCCCACCCTCCCTGGGTCAGTGGCCGCTGAGCACGTTTGAGTGGCAGTGATGAGCCAAGTGCAGTTTTCTAGGCCCTGGGGAAACAAAACCCATCAACAAGACAAAGTCCATTAGGGGCCGGGGCTTACAAGCAGTATTCAGGCTGAAGACCCCAAAGAAATAGCATCAATTTGTTTTATTAAACCCGTCCAGTGAAATGTTTTAGACTTGAACTAGTATTAACATGTATATAGCAAAATCCATATTTATATGTACGGTAGAACCTCTGTAAGTTGACCACCCAAGGGACCATAAGAAACCGGCCAGCATATGAGGTGGTGAACGTAAGGAACAGGCCTGCTGGTCCTGATACGGACGGACGTGTGGTGCAGGTCTGGTCTGTGGAAATTAGATCAACTTAGGGAGGTGGTCAACTATGGAGCTTCCGCTGTATTAATATATGCCTTAGTCCATTCAGGATGCTACAACAAAATACTGTGGACTAGGTGGCTTATAAACAACAGAATTTTATTTTCTCACGGTTCTGGAGGTTGTGAAGTCCAAGGCTAGGTGGCAGCAGATTTGGTGTCTAGGGAGGGCCCACGTCTTGGTTCATAGAGGGCACCGTCTAGCTGTGTCCTCACATGGTGGCAGGGAGCAAGGTCCCTTCAGCTTCCTTTATAAGGGTACTAATCTCCTTCTTGAGGGTCCTGCCCCCATGACCTAATAACTTCTTAAAGGTACCACTTCCTAATATGGTCACCTTGGGGTTGGGATTTCAGTATAGGAATTTGGGGGGATACTGACATTCAGATACATTTGGTCAGGATGCTAAGCTTAAAAACAAATAGTTACGATGTTCTGGGAGTGTGCTAGAAGTGGCAAGCCCATGGATTTTAGAATTACAGTTTTGAGTCAGTTCTGCCATTTCCTGAGTGTCTATGGTAGCATCTCCAAAGCAGGATGGCAGAGTGATAGCATGTGGCACTCAGGACTTAGTCTTGTCGGCACTGTCTAGATCAGTGTTTTTCAACCTTTTTAACCTCACGGCACGCTTGAACCTATAGTTAAACTTCCACAGCACACTTGAATTATGCTGAGCAATAAAAAAAAGTAAAAGACGGCTCAGCGCCCATGGCAGGGTGGTTACAGAGCCGACCACCTAACACTGAGGCTGCGTGTTCAAACCCGGCCCAGGCCTGCTCAACAACAACACCTGCAACAAAAAAGTAGCCGGGTGCTGTGGTGGGTGCCTGTAGTCCCAGCCACTTGGGAGGCTGAGAAAAGAGAATTGTTTAAGCCCGAGAGTTTGAGGTTGCTGTGAGCTGATGCCATGGCACTCTACCAAGGTTGACATAGTGAGACACTGTTGCAAAAAAAAAAAAAGTAAAAGAAAAGAATATATTTACTGTGCTTTGAACTTCTAAGTTCTTTTCTTTAAAAATTTTTGTGCACACCTAAGATCATCTGATGGCACACTGGTTTAAATCACTGGCCTAGAGGAATTGTGTCCTCAGCCTCTTCAGGGCTGACCAGCGCCTGGGACGGAGCATCAGTGCTACACTCCTAGTGCTACTCAGCTACAGAAGATAACAGCTCTTGTTTTGATTGACTATTGTTTTATGTATTGCCTTATTCCAACGTGTGGTTTTGAAATTACCTCTGATGAATTAGGCTGATGTTTAAGCTTAAACAAAAGGAAGTTGTAGCTGACTTTGTGTGAACTGGTGATGAGCTGGAAGAGTGAGTACCTTCAGGCTAATGAAGAGACAGGCTTTTTCCTGGGTAATAGGGAAAGTACTGTACTGATTTCCATTCACTTCTGAATCTGTTATAGCAACGGACTCAAATAAATGATCTTATATTGCGTGCCTATTTTGTTTTGGGAAATGGTGTTCCTTAGAAGGGTGACACTGTCGCTCTATTTATAAATTTTATTACTTCTGGTGCAGAGAAAAGTACGGGGAGACTTGGGCAGAAGATGCGGCTGCTTTCTAAAAAGTCTGGTGGTTTGCACTTCCCAGGCTCTGCTGGAACTGAGTCCCCCGAAGATGTTCCCGTTGAGTGGCCACTAGGTGGCGGCCTCCGGCTCCGCGCAGGGCAACTCCCAGGCCTTTTCCCCCATCTGGAATTAGTCTGGCTTGGTGGGGACAAGATGCCCTTTTAAGCAGGTTAAACTCTGTTGACAATATCCTCTAACCCAGGTAATCATTCTTAATGGGTACATGAGGTAGGAATATAACTGTGTGCATTTTATGTTTAAAACATGAGAATTGTTCATTTCTTACACTTTGGACACAATCTTAGAGTATCTTTAAAACAAAGGGACTTGGTTATGCCAGAGTGACTGGGCTGTGCCCAGGTTGCCAGAGAGCTTCACACCTCACTCTGCAGCCCCGTCCCCAGAGTTGCAACTACTTTATTGTCTTTCAACTACTGAGTGGTTATCTAAATGAGTGGTTCCTGCTCCAGCACTTACTAAAACAAACAGCTGCTGTTCTTTCTGTCATTGGACAGGACTAAACTAACTGCCAGCCAGACTCAGGCCCATTCCGTGTGGCTCTGGTCCTTGACGTCCCTGGTACACTGAAGAACAGGGATCTAGGCCCAAACATTTCCCGGTGTCAGGTCAGCCCTGCCCGCACTCGCCTCCCATACACACTCCTGCTCCCAGTGTCAGGTCAGCCCTGCCCGGCCTGCCTCCCATACACACTCCTGCTCCCGGTGTCAGGTCAGCCCTGCCCGGCTTGCCTCCCGTACACACTCCTGCTCCTGGTATCAGGTCAGCCCTGCCCGGCCTGCCTCCCGTACACACTCCTGCTCCCAGTGTCAGGTCAGCCCTGTCCGGCTCGCCTCCCGTACACACTCCTGCTTCTGGTGTCAGGTCAGCCCTGCCCGGCTTGCCTCCTGTACACACTCCTGCTCCCGGTGTCAGGTCAGCCCTGCCCGCGCTCGCCTCCCATACACGCTCCTGCCTGTTTGCTTTCTTGTGGGTCCTTCTGTGTCTGTCGCCCCTTGTTTGGGTTCTGGTGCTAGATCCCTAGTGAGGCTCTCAGGGACTCCTTTCTTCCTTCCCCACATTCTTCTCCGCAGAGACCCAGGGTGAGTGTCTCAAGATGCAAGCCTGATTGATTGTGGTCTCCCTCCGATGGGAGGTGGCTTCCTTTGTTTGTAGGATTTAGTTTAAAAAACCCTCAGTGTGGACCACAGACACCCTTCGTGGGCTGACCCTCCCTCCCTCTCAACCTCACCTTGTTCCTTTTTTCTCTCTTACTCTGTCCACTTCAGCCACAGCGGTTTTCTTTTAGTCCCTTGGGCTCGTCATCCTCCCTTCTGCCCCTGGGCCTTTGCACATGCTCTTCCTAATATCTGGAGAACCCTTCCCACCTCTCCCAAACCATCTAGTTCCTGCTTGTCTTTCGGCTCTCAGCTTATGTGTCAGTCCCTGAAGGCACTTTTTCTAAAATTGTCTAGTTTTACTCTTTTGTTTTCTAGCATCAAGAAGAAATGAGGGGCAGTTTGAATTGTTCTGTTCCATAGAAATTAAGCATTTATTGTAATTTTTGCCTCTTGGGTAGTTTATCACCTCCATAGAGAGGAGACAGGGTCTTATTTGTAGTAAGCTGCAAAAAAAGGAGCTTTCAGAAATGTATGGCTAAAAGATTAGTGAGCTCTATTAAGAAGCATATTTTAGTTTATACAATATGGAAAATATTTATGTTGATGGTATTTGATATATATATATATATAATCTATACTTAGTAATAGATAAAAGCTCTACAGTAAAATTCAGGGAGATCTATTTAGTGTTGACAGGCTTTCATATTGCTGGCGAAAATGGTGACTCTTGATTCTCATTTTTAAGAGCTAGATATTGTAAGCAGAAAGCTAATTTGTAAGAATAACCAAGTAAGTGTATTTCCTCATGAAAAGTAAACACTGTCACTTTCTGGTAAAAACAGGCTGTTATCACCACGGTTTCCTGGAGAAATGGTTGATTTCAAGTCTGGGAAGGGAAAGGATACGGGGAGCTGGGACGTCTTGTACCAGAAAGCAAGAAAGCGCTTGGAAGCCAGGGCGATGTGACAGAGGGCCCTGGAGTTAGTCACAAGGGGCCACTGCCCAGGGTAGTAATGGGTTATAACAACAAGTAATGAGTTAAAAGCAACAAACCCTAAATCTAAGAAAAGTGGTGCGCTGAGTTCTTCTTTATAGAAGAACTATAGCCGATAAATGCAGAAGGAATGACTGGGCTAGAAAATCACCCTCTTGCATCTTTGGCATATTAATATGATAATTGGTCCACCAACGGATAAAACCACTGTGTGCTGTAAAGGGAGAGTACATCCCCCTTGCAGGGTCTTCAAGGATTATTCCAATGTGACCACAGAAATTACACTGTGAGAGGCACATGGGATTAAAGGATTTATATACCGACAGGTCTTTGAGAGGGGCCATGTGTGAGAAGCCTCCGGAGAGCAGGCTGCACTGAGCAGGCAGGGAGCTGAGAGGAGGCCCTGCGGGCAGTGCTTTCATGAGGGGTCAGGTAGAAGTGGGGGAGGTACATTAGCACAAAGTTTTAGGGCTTTTTGTTGATGTGTGTGACTGTGACTTGGTCATCGTCAGCAGAGGGCAAGACAGGGACGTTCTGGCAGGGGCCAGCCTTGTTACTCTGGGACCCCGGTCTTGTGGGTGGAGTCTTCATAGCTTGTGATGATGTTGGGACCTCAGGGAAATAGGAAGTCTCTAAAAATTTATAATATACACTGAGTGAAAGGTTGTTGAGGAAGAGGACACTCAGGGTCTCAAGAGACCATCCCACAACTGAATTACCATTTCAAAAGAGAGGAAAGTTCTTTCTACGGGATACCACCTCAACCATAGGAATCCACTCAGTATCACCAGTCAAGGGACAGACTGGCACGGCGAGCCTCCTGGGGTGCACCGAGAGGGCACATGTCACAGGTGGCAGTGCTGTCAGAAGTGCCCAACCTGAATGTCTCTTAGGGAAATCATCTGACAGACTGGCATTCTACAAAAATGACATTGTCAAGAAAAAAGGCAGGGAGCTCTTTCAGAGAGTAAGGAGCTGTGGCACCTGAAGGAGGTGGTGGGTCTTTGATTGGGTTCTAGATTGAAAACAGCAGCTACAGAGGAGATTTGGGGAACAACTGGGAAATTTGTGCATGGATTGTGTATTAGCAAAGAAAGCTGACATTGACTCGGTATTACGAGTGGTGATGGTGTGGAAGTGTTTGGGTGAAGTGTCCTCATGGCACAGATGAGGTGCGGGACGAGTGGCAGAGGCACCTATAGGAAGGGAGGGTCGCTGCTGAATCCGGGGCAGGTAGATGGGAACCTACTATTCTTTCAACTTTTTTGTACATTTAAGATTGTTTTGGGGTTTTTTTTTAGGTATAGAAAAAATAGGTCATCAACTTAAGGGTTTTTATTCTTTCCTCTGGTATTATGTTTGTATTACTGCCCAATTTAAAAAAGAAAACAAAACTCCGGTCATAATTTGCCTTTATTCTGTTTTCTAGATGTGATACAACAGAAAAACTCAGAAATTCTTTGGATTACTTAAGATCATTATTAAATGATTCTACAAACTTTAAACTTATTTACAGATATGCGTTTGACTTTGCACGGGTGAGTTTTCTGGAGCCTATCCAGACGTTTCCCTTTCCTTTCCCCCCCCTTTTTATTGCCTTCCGAGGTCGGTTTTTACAGGCCACAGCAAAGCACGGAAATAAGTTACTCCCAGGATGCTAGTTAGTATTTCTTTTGACACGTGTGGTTTTTAAAACTCATTTTGGTTCTGGGCATTTTGCGTGTTGGCAACAAGCTCTGGTGGCACACCTCCAGCAGCTCTCACGATGGGGTGGAAGATGGGCATGGAACAGACGCTATCTCAAATTCTCTCAGAGAAGCTCAGAAAAACTTTTCCCTCTTACAGAACAACAAACTTTAACCCTCTGCTAGAATAAGCTAATCTCACCTATTTCAGCTTCACTTCGGGTGCTATTATTGTATTTGGAAATCAGGTGAATTTCAAAAGTAGGCTAATTTTAATGAACGTTATTGAAACTTATTTTAATAATTGTCATTTAGAGAAGTGGGTGTCCTGTCTGTCACATAGTCAAGTCCAAGTACGAGAGAGTGATTCTGTCAGAGTGAAATGAGAGTCTTACTGGTCAACCTGGTCACCAGAGGCAGTGAATTCTGAAGTTGACATTGTATTTATTAAACACAATCCACAGCCCATACAACTATAGTTTATTCTAGAATGATGTTTTCTAATAGGTCTGTGTGTTTGGTGGGTGCAGGTGACGAGGCTTTGTTGATTGATCGCTTTTTTTAAATGATTTTTTTTAAAGCAGAAAACTTGGTGACAAATGATTCTTTTTTTTCCATGCTGATTTTTTTCACTTTTTATTCTCTTTGGCTTTGCCCGTTCACCAAGTTGTATTCGGTGGTGAATTTTGATACATTTGCAGCAGCCTTTAGTTCTCGGTGGTGCCTTCATTCCCGCGTTTTCCATTATGTAGTTTTCTAATTACAGCATGCAGGGAGTTCATGGATACTAGAAACCATAAGATGAAATTCAGATACGGTGATGGACTAAATGACAATTTGTGTGATTATGTGTGCAAGTTATTTGCCAGATGTTTATAGAATAGATGCTTTGCTTCCAGAACTAGTTTATCTCAGGAGACTCCTGTGTAAGAAGCACCTGCT